TCGTCTATTGTATTTATGTTTTTGTTAACTATATTCTATTGTATCACATGTCATGTCTAATACTTGGTTAATATGTAGTCTTTTCATATAGCTTTGCAATAAACTAAATTAAATTAAATTAAAATTAAATATTTTATTGATATAAATAATTTTATATTAAAGAAATTTTATACGAAATAACTTGCCGATCTATAATTGGGACTTATACATAAACATTTTTTAACATTTTTTCAAAATTCAAAATCGGTTTACTAAACGTAGAATAATTTAAAAACAGAATAGAGTTTAATGATTTATAATCTTGATTTTGTTAATTAAAAACAGCAAATCAAATCTCTTATATAAATCGGTGATAAAACCTTTTTCTTGAACATATATAATTTTAAATCGAAAATCGGATTCATTAAACAAATTATGCTAATTGTGAGTAGAAGTCGATGACGAATGAGAAGTTTTTAATGATTAATCACTTCACGAAAAAAAAACGTTTCAATTTCGTTCAGGGGGGGGGGGGCATTTTGATTCTATATTTAAATTACGTCGCATTTATAATGTAACCAACGCGCGGTCGGCATAATCTTTGGCGAAACTACTTAAAATACAAGATCATACATTACCAGAGACAAAAGAGAACGTTCGTATGTACATAATACACATTTACACACATTAAAGAGCTCAAACAAGAAACGAGCCCATCGGCAGATACTTAACTTGTCATTTAGTTCTTATTTGCATAAGACACGGTATTATTTGCATAAGTATACGTATAGAGTTGAAGCATGTGTCCATGTAAATGAGCAATGTAAAGACGAGATGGAGATGCAACGAACGAGATCGAAGCAGAACACGGTCGTTGTTGCCGCAAAATACGTTATTCGCGTTAAGTATGTATTTGCCGAGGAATATGATTCTAGAATTTTACGGTTATACGTATATGCGTGTTACAAAATCGATGATCAAATTTCCTGTGCGGCGCATCTCATACGCTAACATTGGGGATTTCACGGAATTGAGCAATGTATTAATGTTTCCAATTATCAAAAAATGCATTACTTGCTAATTCAGAAAATATTGAATATTGAGTATTGAAAATATTTAATAAATAGGACAAGTATTTTTTAATTCAATAGAGAAAGGTCGCCAACATCGTTATACCTCTTTGTATTTTAACCATAATTCTTTAATAAAAGCTAAAAATATAAAACTTTGGAAAAATAAATACAAAAACGTTTTCTATCAGTTTTTATAATATTGTTTGGAATGTTGCAATAATTAACGTTTTCGTCAAGACAAGCAAAAATGTGTGCATCTGATAAAAAATGGATTTTAAGACTGACGTAGTGATAATGCCACATATTTCTATTCTTTTCTTTCACAGGGATTATCTATACGAAATATCTACAAGTTAATGTATATGAAAATTTCTAGAACCTTTTTACTTTGATGTAAAACGTTTTTTGTTGATTTATATGCATACTTTAGACTATTTCGCAAGACATAAACACGTGACATAACAATTTTTCTTAGAGGTTTTCCGTAAATACAGGAATGCCTTCAGCCTCAACAGGGCTATTTTATACAATAACGCGACAGTATATAAAGATTAAGTTAGCTTATGGTCTGTTTTACAGACAAGTGTGTTGGTTTACGCTGTACTTTAATTTTATGTTTAAAACCGTACTATGAGAAAAATAAGAGAAAGAAAATATAAAACAATTTTAGAAAACTACAACCACGTAAAACAATCTATATATTATTAATATAATAATATATCCACTATTATTTTAATTATGCAATTAGCAAAAGAAAATCGTAAGAGTTTTATTTTCGCATTTATAAAATTCGTTTTTATCTGATTTTACATAGAAACAAGCCACAAATATATGAATTATGGGTTTTTCCTTTTTTGATCATCTAAAAAAACAGATCTTGATTTTATCATTAATAAAGTACAATGTTTAGTTTGTGAAAAATAAAAGAATATTTCTTTCGAGACCTGTGTCAGTATCAGCGACTTTTCTCCATTATTATATTGTCCTTATATATTTTTTGTAAATCTGGATAATAAGATTGAATGCAACAAAATTTTCATTCAGATAAAATTTTATCTTATTTCTATAACAATTTTAACGTCATGTGTGTAGCAGGAAGTTGAGCAATCAGAACATGTAACTCAGAACAGACATGTAACTCAGGACGTGTAATTCGGAACAGACATGTAATTCAGGATGTGTAACTCAGAACAGAAAATTCAACTACAATTTCGTATTGTGCACGAACAAATAGATCCGTTAAAAGTCACTGGAAAGAACCATCAACAAGCACATACTGTAGCATACTATAGCGAGCTATAACACGGACTGGTTTCGAAGTGGTTTCCTGTCTCAGTAGGTGACAATACTACAATGCATACGTTCGATCCACATGGCAATTCCGAGGCACGGATTAGCCGATGCTATCGACGAAAGTTTATCGTATAAAGTTAAAAGTATATGTGTATATTACTATATTGTCCAGAGTTGTATCATTTAATTTGCCGCCATCTATATATATATATATATTGTAAAAAAAATAAAAAACTTGATCTCTACACCAGATAAATATTTGCACGCTGTGCGGGTTATATGTGCGAAAAGGTATTGAAGAGTATTTTCAAACATTGTAGCCAAAACTTTAAGGAAGTCTCCTTTATGTATTATAATTAAAATAAATTATATAAATGTATTATAATTATAAAATTGTATAATTTATCTATATAGTGACTTTCGATATTTAAAGAGAAAATTAAATAGAGAAATAAAGAACATAATATTATATCAAAAGATATATATTTTGCAGTAAGATATTGGAGGTAAGTCCTTTCTATCGATCGTGTAGTCTACATAATTTCACGTGTTATAAAGTGTTCACTGCTTCATAGTGGCTTTGCAATTTACGACATGGAGAATGAAAATAATGAGGGCAATTTGTTAGCTATTTTCTTGCATCAATGACGAAAGTTTAGAACGCTATAATCACACTTGCGTACCTAATAGTTATAATGTTTGTACAACGCACATATGTGTCACTGCTTGGACAAATAACAGTCGCTCGATTAATGTTTTATGTAATAACATAAAAAATAAAACAATCTGCTATATTATTGCAGAAAATTAGAAAAACACGGCAGAATGTTTGTCAAATAGAATGAATTGGCAAATTTACTCAATTGATTTCAGGATTCTAAGAATCATGCTGTAAAAATAACCTAATTTTAACGAATCACTTAATTAAAGCTACATTGAATTTTGTCATAAATTCCAAAATCAAACTATTTTCGGACATTTTTGTAAAAAATAAACAAAGTTTTATTTTATAATATTAATGTAACTACGTCAAAAATGAGTTTTGAACATTTTATTTTTTCCAAGATAAGCATTAAATATTTATAAATATTATAAAAATATTTCTCAAATCTATAAGGGAAACAGCGTTTCCCTTATAGATTTGATTTCTCTTTTTAAAATAACAAAAAATAATAAATAAAGACTTGATAGTTTCTATATAGAAAAGTAGTCGGTTGTCGGAATCATTTCGAGAAATTCTCACGAAACGTACCTAACGGATAAAATTGATCTTGTCTCTTAAATCTTTCCGGTACATCAGAGACAAGTACGTTTTTAAGGGTACCACGAAGCGAGACAATGGTCTTTATGGTGAGTATCCGATAACAACAGACATGAGATGGATAATAATGTGTAGGTATGCTGCTTTAATAACGACGAGAGGCAACCAAGCCTGTTATTCTTGGCTGGTTTATACACGCCGTCAACACGATAAATTTTGCTTACGGTAACGCCTTACATCGCGTATAGTGTCGACTAAAAGGACTCTCAGAATATTCAGGATACCTCAGAGTGTCCTCTATTTAAGTACATGATTTTGCTCGATAAACCAAGCTCTTTGCCTTAATTTAACGTAGGTAGCGCTTCCTTACAAACGTTTTCGCTTAGATGTTTATGTGAAAGACATCAGTTAAAAATTTGTATTAAAAACATGTTCCACATATACCAAATGGTTCACTTTTTTGTGTTAATTCAATACAAGATAAGTATGTTAAAAAGTAAATATTATATTAAAAAATTAACACAAAAAATCTTACTAACATAATTTATAAGCAAACTATAAAAACACACTTTTTCTGTAAAATTAATATTTATGTCCACAATTAACGTTTTTTTATTATTTATTTTATCTTAAAATTTATGTTTTAAAAAATTTGAAATGAAATACATTATTTTTATATTATTTGTTGACTTATTTATAAATTTTGTTATTCTGATACTAAGAAATGTTGAATATCAATTCAACACAAAATATTCAAATAACACAGTCACACATTATGTTAAATTAACACTCTGGACAAGCGAATATGTTAAAAATTCAACATAAAGTTTTAATAAGGGCTTGAGTGGACCGATTTTATCACAAATACAAAATGTTCTTTACTGTATATAATTAATTAATCGTACTTGTCACTTTGGAAACAATCATACTTCGATGTAAGTATTACGCGGAAAAAAAACTTTAGTAAAAGCACACTACTAATTGCAGTATTCTCAAAACTAAAATAAATTAATATTTTAAACCTATGTCAGAGAAAAGAGTTATGTACCATTTAAACATTTTGCAGTTTGCGTGGAACTGTGTGAAAACTGAGCGAGCTTTTAGGAATAAATCATTTTTGACATGTAGGAAACCGTGAGATTAACGAGCGTGAGATGTTTTTTAACTTCAGTGAAATTTCTTACGAAGACGCACGTAGTAATGCAGCGTCGTTTCATTAAACCGGAAAATTTTCTGCGCCGTAAGTTTTAGTTCAAATTGCTATTTCTTGCGCTGACGTAGATTACGGAGATGTAAATAAAATAATATGACATTACATGGTTCAGTAAAAGTAAAACGTATACCGAAAATACAAAATTTATTAAGCATGCAAAATACGCAATTATAACACTTACCCTTTTTCGATGCGTGGAAGGAATCATCTTTTGGCACGTACTGAATATCGTACTCCAACGTGGTCTTCGGCAATATAATTTTGTCCTTGTTGATCTTGTAAACGGCGTACTTGAAGGCCAGCTCCGTGCTGCTATCCTTTTGGTCATGAGTGAATATAGCACCTGGAAAGTAAGCACGACTGTGATCGCTTTAATCCTTAAAGTGGAACACCATTCCGTTCCATAGTGATAATACTCTCAAACGATCAAAGTTCGTCCATCTATGCTAATAAACTGCAAGCTTCGAGCGAGACTGAATCTCATATAACAGAGATTATGCACAGTTTTAATACTATAAGTGCGCTTATTCGGGGTTTGCATATTGAATAATTTCTCTAATGCCATCTATATTATATTGTACATATTAATGTACAAATTGTATCAGTTGACCTTGATAAAATCTAAGGTAATATCTAGCTTCTTAAATTCAATTAAAACATTAAATTTATTCAATGTTACTGTAATCACAAGTATAACAAAGATAATTCAATATCAATTACTTGAAACAATTGTAATTAATGATAAGAAAAATTTATTGTTAGAAATATTGTTAATTAAATACTTTCTGATTTTATAATTCTACCTTACAGTTATATATTATTAATTCTTATAAAAGAATTTGATCTGGTTCACTAAGTTCAACATATAATTAACTGACCGTTGATTAATATTGCAGGATCAAACGGTTCAGAATAACGTCAAGCACATCATACATATACCTATACGTGTATAATATGTACATAACATGCTGTATATCTCTAATATTCGTTAGATAATGTAACATACATTGCATGTATGTATACATTGTGTCCAAATATCAATAATATAATTATGATTCTGATGGAATTAATATTTGTTGAGACAAAGTGCATATATCTTTATTAATAACAGCAACGTACAAAAACATGTAGTAAAATATATTAATATATTATCTATTAGCATGTACGATATGTATCTACATATACGTATATTAGCATTTATTGTGATATTCTGTGTAATAAATTATTTATAGCTTTTTAAGGTTTATTAGTAAAAATATTATTAAATTGTGCTTGTGCAATTTAATTTATAACGTTACTATCCAATTTAAGATTGCCTTTCAAGACGATATAAGAGAAAATGATTTCGACGCACAGTTTACAAAATTGGATATAATAAATAAAAAAAAAGCACCAAAATATTATTAAGTACTAAGATCCAACTCGAACTAAACAAGACATTTTTCTTACTTAGTGAATTTACATATCGGTCTAATGTCATATATTGTTGTTAAAAATGTATAAAATTTTGACAAAATACTAAAGCAAAATACTGAATTTAGCACATTACAAACAAACGAACAAAGTTCATCGTTAATCATCGATCTGACATTGAATGCAAAAACAAAATGAGGTATTGCGATTAAAAAAATATGCCTACGTTAAGAAACATTATCTTCGTACGATACACACAGCGACGTACTCTTGAATGAAGAATGCATTCTAATAACACCTATTCATCGGACTGACACCGATTACATAGCCGCCAGGCTATCAATAGTGTGTCAAAGGTCGCCTTTCTGAAGAATTTTTCAAAGGTGTCACGTTTCTGAAAGTCTCACGAATATACTTCCAATCCATCGAACAATCGTAAAGAGTAAGTCTGGACACACACCGTCCTCGTTATTGACAACTAGCTCGTTCTTTGAGAGAAAAGAATACTCAAGGATGTTGAACATTGAAGAGGATTAATCTTCTCCCTTTCGGTATTCAGACTCTCATCGCAAAGTGCCCCGGGTCGTTTACGAAAATTAACGAGCATCCTTTGGCGCGATAAAAAAACGGCAGGACACATTCCTGACCTAGCACCAAGGGCGATTTTATGGTTGAACGATGGCAAGCGACAATTAAAAGCGATGACTAACATTGCTAATTAACATTTGACTTGACGAATGGTCGTTTCTGATGAAAGTCCAAAAGTCGACATCGCGGACCGATTACCATCGTACTGTCTGTTCGCACCTGTGTACAATGTTTAATTTAGTTAGATAATACTTTGGCTCATAATGAAACGATAATACAAGACTAACGTATTAATAATTTACATATTATATTTAATATAATAGAAAAGAAAAACTGCAAACATCTAAAGGAAAAGTTTAATAAAGTCGATTTTTTTATTAATTAGAAGTCTTTGCTATAAAAGATACTGCAGTTATTTGGCTTCAAACTAATAATTAATATTCATGTATTTTATCAATATTAATTATAATTTTAAACAAAAAAGACCCTTACCGTTTCGACAAAATTTGTCGCATAAAACAGCAATGCTAAACGGATTTTGTTTAAAAAATTATAATTTATATTGATAATACATGAGTGCTAATTATTGCAGTTTAAAATTAAATAATTTTTGAATAAAGATTTCTATAATTGATAAATAATTGTCAATTTTATTTAATTTTTCCTGTAAATATTCAGTTCTCTCTCTCTCTCTCTCTCTCTCTCTCTCCCTCTCCTTAATATCAAAAGTATTGTAAATATATAATAGTATTTCTTCTAAACAGCGTATGCATTCTACAGGCACGTGTTATGTACACTGAAAAAAATTTTGATCATTTTTGGTCCAATGAATGATCGTTAATCAATGTCCTATTTAATGTCCGACTGTAGTTAATTCATTGATACAATAACTAGATTCATTTAAATAACTATATGTTCATTCTTGCAATAAATTCTAGTAAGAGTTTTATAAAAAAAAAACCTATCATTATGAGAATTCATTGGACCAATTTTCATTATCTTTTCATAATTCAATAAATATTTTATTGTATTTACAATATGTTTTAGTTCAGTGTATGACACTAAGAGTGTATATCAGACTGAAGTGTGAGAAATGAGAAGTTATCAGTGTTATCACTATTCTAATATGTAACAATATCGTTTGCATTGTTTACTCCGTGTTTGCAATTGAATATGTTATAACACAATTAATTATTGTAACATAATAAATTAATGTAATAGTATATTGTACATAATGATGAACATATTAGACAATGTAATTAATGTAAACATTGATTAATATCTAGACATATCGAATATATTATAGTAATTTAATAAATATTATTGCAGTGTTATTATAATCAAAATATATAAAAATAAGATTCAAGATTTATTATAAGGCTTAAAGAGTCACTTATGTAGGTATATGCATGATTCTTTTAATTAAAAACTGAATTAGATACATATATTATATTAATTACTTCAACTAGCCTTTTGTCGTGTGATCCATCATAAAAATATTACATCTTATAATATTTGATCCAAAATATACATTTTTTTTTTCATTAAATTAGACGTTAAAAAAATGTTAAAGTTAACCATTTTATCCAAAAATAAAGGAAAATAGTGTTCAATTGAGCAACAGGATGAACGGATACATCGTAAACGGTAATGAGTTCTCTTAGCATTTACATCCTGCCAAATCGTTGATCCTCCTTGTTTCCCGTTTTTCATCAGATCTTAACCCTTCTTGATAGTATTCTCTCAGTCCGACGCGCTCTTTTACTTTTCGTTTCGTAACTAACTAATCCATTTATCTGTAACAAAGTGGATGCGCATTAGCCGCCTTCCATCTCTCATCCCACAGTGTTATTCGCCACTGTAGCTCTGTGCTATTCTTTTTCCGTTTCTCCGTTTTCGCCGTAACACGTTAAGTACTCTGATCCTCCCAGAAATGCTCAACGACTTCTTTCGGTATTTTCTTATCTCATCGACTACGACTGCGCTCAACCATTAGCTGTGTTTAAATAAGGAATAGGTAATCCCTAAAATCCCTAGGCATGTTTACTATTGTTTTTTTTAGTCCGACACGTTCGCTTGTTTCTAAGATACAAAGAGAGTAATTTTTATATAAGTAGTACAAACAGATAATTCAATTATTTCAGTTATCAAATACTGTTTGTGAAAGATACTCAATTACGAATGCATATAAAAACATAAAACATTATTAACAATAAAATGGCGACTTACATTCTTGATTAAGTCTGTATTTTTAAAAATAAAATAGTTCATTTATCAAATATAATAAATGTGTCGATATAAAAATTATAGACACGAAAAATAAAACGTACGATAGATGGGCCATTTTAGAATGTGTGTGTATACAGGAAAAACGTATTTTTTACGCTCGAGTTATATTTTTCGAACAAATTTCTCTGAATCATTTTAGCCATAATTTTCGAAGTATAGTATTATTTTCCAAAGAATCTCTTCGCCATCCTTAAATCCCTGGAAAGCATTTTTGAAAAAAAGCCGGAGATTACCATTGGAACAGCTTGATGCTCAACGAAACGCTTCACGTCAGTGACGTAACATCACCGTGATATTCAAGGCTTGTTACGATGAGAGAACCGGGAAAAAAATATTAGCTTGAATGCATTATATATCATCAAAACGCATTATCTAAACGATTTTCGAAACTATGATATTAACAATTTAATACTTTGAAGAAAGTAGCACAGCAATGTTAAAGCAATGAAAGAGATATGTATAATGTATTTATTACTTAGCAATAATAATCTGTTTGCGCGGTTATGTCTCTCTGCTTTACCTCTAATTAGCATCATTAACATTGAGTTATATCTGCTGCTTGACGTTTATAAACATTCGTTTGTACATGTATATAACCATGACCAATTCGCATGTTGGTCTTGGTCAATCTCGTGGGATCTGTGGTAGATTTACAGAGGATATAGCAAGTTAATATCGCTAATTCCTCGTAAATCGCAACAGATTTCCATTAGGAAGCGCGAGTTGTATACATAAAGTTCACGGTACCTACGTTTTCCCAGAAACAAAACAATACGAACGTTCTCTGTTGAATATTGGCAATACAGTGCGACGATACGACCAAACAATCTCCAGAGACCTCGAGAGCTGCAATTCTCAGGTTTTATTTTACAAGAGACAAAGACATAGAACGGATATAAAAATGGAAAAAAAGAAGATAGAGCGACTAATACATTACATAATTAATTTTTACCGATTTGCACTATAATGCGTTTTACGATGTGTAATATATAATACATCACATGTGATTTCTTTATATATATAATATTATACATTATAACGATAATATCGATC